GTCCGGCAGGGAACACTGGGCGTGGATGGTCGTGGTTGAGGTCCGGCGAGGAGGAGAAGAAGAAGGAGGAGGAGGAGGAGAAGGAGAAGTTAGCTAACATAAAATCTAACATCCCTCACCTGGCAGGTGGGGAATAACAAAGACGGAACCCACGAACCCGAATGCAAGCACGTACTCGAAAACAAACACTCTTGCGAAGAAGTCTTGTAGGACACTCTTGTGGGATACTCTTGTATGTCACTCTCGTGGGACACTCATGCGCGACACTCTTGTATGTCACTCTTGTGGGGCACTCTTGTAGGGTTGTGTAGGACACTCTTGTCGGACACTCTTGTGGGGCACTGTTGCTAAAGTCTTCCAACATCAACAGTCACGTCTCCAAAGCGAGCGTTTCGTACGAGACTTCCTCCAAAAGTCACATCAGGACTGCCCAAGTTTCCGAAGCGAGCGTTTCGCACGAGACTTCTTCCAAAATTCACTCGTCAAGTCTCCAAAACGAACGTTTCGTACGAGACTTCTTCCAAAAGTCATCTGTCAAAGTCTTCAAAGCGAGCATTTCGTACAAGACTTCCTGCAAAAGTCATCACATGCCAATCCCAAACTCACAGCGACATTCACCTCTACCACAACTCGCAACCTCACGATTCCCTGCGCCTGCCACGAAAATTTACACGTGCACACGTCTAACATGCACAAAGTACTGCGCCTGCCACGAACAGTGACAATATCATAGCATGTCAGCTTCAACAAAATTTGCACCACACCACACGTTTGGAATGATTTCGGCACTTCTGAGCGCACTCCCACCCACCAAAATCGCCATTTGAGCTGAGACTTGTCACGGAAACACAACTTCGATGCAACACCCTGAAATGCAAATCCCAATGTCACAGCCACATCCAACACCCACTCTCCAAACGCGAATACCAAATGTGACTGCGCAGAAAACTGCACATCTCACAAAACGCTGCGCCTGCGCAGTGAAATCATCCTCCACACTTCAACATCTTACGTTTCCACACGTTTCCTCGCTATTTCACACGAATCTGACGCTTCACGTTTCCAGCCAAACCTTCCCCCAATTGCAGCGCCTGAACGGCTGCGGACGGCTGCGGACCGTTGACAACGGTTGCGAACGCTACGACAACGAGTCGCGAACAAGACCCTACCCCCAGACCCCCAGAGTTAAACGAGAACCCTTCACTATGCATTCGGGAAACGAGACCCAACTTGAAGTGCCAACCCTGCCGCTGGTTTGCTGGTCGTTGGTGCTTGTATGTCAAGATCACCTTTCCACCAGTGCCCGCTCACCCACCCTCTGGGTTGAGGATCGGTTTGAGGAGCTGACTATTGGATCATCCCACATACGTGTTTGCAACTGAACGTGGCCTACAGCGATACAGATAGAGATAGCGATGTAATGACCAGCATAGTTGTATAGGTCATTCCGCCACATGACTTGGCCTATGTGGCAACCCAATGCCAACACCCAGAAGAGTAGAGGAACAAGTTGACCTGTGCATTAATGCGTTGGAGCCCATCCTGTTGGTGGAAGAACGATCACCTGAGACAAAAAAGGGAATTGTGAATGTCCAGGCCATGTGGAGTCGGATGCATTGTTTTGAAGTAGGAACTGATATTGCTGGAAACCATCAAGTATATAAAGGTTATGTGTAGATCAAGAGGGCGCGCAATTTCAAAACATTTATTAGGCAGATGAATACGAGGGTGTTCGTTTCGGAGCTTTGAAGATAAGTGATCACGCTTTTGTTTTTCGGAGAATTGGTTATGAATTTCCAGGTGAGTGCAGCAGTTCGAAGGAAACGCATTGGCAGTCCCAGACAGTCCAGATTTGGTTCTGTGCTTAAGGGTCTAGACGGGGTTCAGTGTTGGTTGGCTGGTGCAAATGCGTTCGCAGTCGTCCCAAGGCCTCCGTGCGACGAAGGTCCTGTGTACTGGGCAGATTCATCCATGCACAAATTAGAGCAAAAAATAGTGCAATCAGTGCGAAGGCTTTTACTTAGACAAATTCATAGGGGTAGAATTTCACGTGCAAACAGAACATGAAAGGTTTGAAGGTGCAAACAGAACAACAACAGAACATGAAAACGAAAAACATACACACTGACAAATCAGACATCCGTTGAATTCTTGTTCAAAACGAAAGAAGTACGAAGAGTCCTTCACCCCCCCTTTTGGCTCTTGAGACTCATGCGCGTGCCACAACGTTGCGAAAGACAACGCATACAGAGCAGTGAAGCAACAGGGGCATCAAGGAATTCCAGGGGTTTTGTCATGAAGATAACCGGGAGACCCATGTTGGATGTTCATGAAGCAAAGCAGGTCGAAAAACAGGATGATTCAGACGGCCAGAGCAGCTTCGCAAGCAATCAGACCAGGGAGGCTTAGCAAGCACACAGAGCACATCCATGCGGTTTCGACTATGCGCAGCCTGCCACGCAGGCCAAGTGGTGTCAGGCTCGATGAAATCGGAGCCGCGCGGCCTGCAGCGGCCGATACCAATGAGGCTTCGTTATTTTTCAAGACGAAGAAGGCAACTGTTGCCTTCGGTCTTGGCGTGGTGTTTGCCTCGGGGTGGCTTATAGCTGCATCGCAGGGAATCCTGGAGAAGTTCAAATTTATATATATTCAGCCAGCTGGGATGGAGAAGAGTTTGTTAGTCTTTCATATCATTGAGCAGCTTCTTGGATGGGCCAATAAGTGCACGTTGTCGGACATCCAGCTTGAGGTGAATCTCAGTCATGACGGGATATCTTTGCCGAAATGCTCTCACTCCCATCGCTTCTAGGTTGGCGGCCATCACTTCAAGGTAGGAGGCCATCGCTTTTAGGTTGGAGAAATGCGCTCACTAATTCACATGACTCACATGACTGCCCACATGGGCGACGGAACTCAGTCACAACATCTGAGCAACACAGAGTACATCCAACATGCTGGCCGTGTGTTTTTGAAGAGACGGTTGTTCGGTTTAAGGGATGGGGTAATAACATTAACATATTGAATCTATGTACATACACGGCGGGCCACCAGCTTTTCCGTGTCGTGGAATGCACTTGGCGCGATCAATCAATCACTTGCTCAACCTCGAAGCAATGACCTCCAACCTAGTTGCGATGGCCTCCAAGCTAATACCAAAGGCCTCCAACCTAAAGCAATGACCTCCAACCTAGTTGCGACGGCCTGCAACCTAATGGCAATGGCCTCCAACCTAGTTGCGATGGCCT